AATCTTCGACCATTCGGGAACTACTTTGCTTGAAAATTAATGCGCCTGTCATTTGACAATCTTTACGCATTGATCTCCCCTGAATTTTTCGGCGTTAGTGTACATATAAAGGGAAGTAACCGCTTCAAAAAAGTGGACTACTTTCGGCATTTGCAATTAACAGCATTTGGCTCTGAAATTTCGCTAACATTATTTGTTTGGTCTGACGACCCAAACAAATAAAAACTATATATTATGAGCCGCGTCAAGACAAAACCAACATAGTGCGTTTGCGAACAGCATGGATCCAGAACAAACTGCGCATCCGCGCAGTCTGATCAGGATCCATGCTGTTTGCTACCAGTTTCTCTTCTTGTAATAGAGTTTGTAAGCGAACAGTATGGATCCTGATCAGACTGTGCGGATGCGCATGCTGGTCTGGATCCATGCTGGTCGCAAATGCATTACGTTGGTTTTGTCATGATGCGGCTCATATATTTTTACCTCATCAGAAATAGTGAAACACCATTAATTTCAGAGGCATGAAATAATTACATGACCAATTAACAATATTTCTGAAATTTGCCCAAAAAAAATGTAATAATAAAAAAACATCTCTCAGCTCCCCAGATAAGAATATGAAGATTGCAGAGGTTCTAGATTAGGTAATTAGCAGACAGTAATGATATTTAAGAAAAAACACATTTGCCAACACTTCAATGGCATTCCCATTACACACAAAAAATATTTGATTGATCTTGCTAAGCAAAAAAAACAACAGTCCTGTCTCAAAATAACTTATAGGCCATACAAAGTTAACAGAAATATTAATCAATGTAAGCAGAATTATTTCTATTTTTATGAGCTGAAGAAAAAGTATTGTTCTTCTTTTTACATGTACAACAATGATTTAATGAAACACAAAAGTAAGTAGCCTGTAAATAAAACTGAACTATTTCTATGTTATAATTGTGAGACGAAAAAAAAGAATTGTTTTTCTTTTTACAACAATGAAAATAAAGTACAAGCTTTCATATGTTTTTTTTTATTCATTTTGATAATCTTTAAAGGGACTCAACTCAAGGTGATTTTTTTGAGATTTTGACCGCACCAGAAATATTTTTTCGAGATTTTTATACCACTTGATGAAGGTCTATACAAAAATTTCTTTGCAAAATTTCAAAATCATTAAAACCCGGTCTGAACTTTTTCCAGAACAATCATTTTTATCCTGCAAATTGATTAAAAACTTTAAAAGCTTTTAACTCTTATCCAACTAAGAATCACAAAAAAAAATCAATTAAGAGTATATTTGTTTATTTAAATTACCAATTTCATCATATTTTTTTTTCTAATCACAAAAGCTCTTGTTGATATATGTAAGATATTAAAATTTTATACTTTTAGGCTTAAATTTGAGCTCTTTTGAAATATAACTTCAATTGTTGAACATAACTGTCACAAAATCAGGACTTGGAAGTAAGGTCAATACATTGTATATGAATTCAAATTAACAGTCTGATTGAGTGAAACAAGCAGCACAGCTTTTTCTGCCCCCTATGCTGAATTTGGAGAGCATCAGATTTCCAATCCTAAAGGGTGATGGGTTTGATCCTCAAGCGAGGCAAAATTTCTCTGTGACAACCAATCAACTGAAGACGATTGGGATATCGGGTTAAATGGTCATTTCAGTGCTGATTCTAAAATCATGAAATAACATTTGTAACCACAGTGGTTACTTATTCAAGAAAATCAATAAGGTAAATTTACTGTTGAGACTTGACCACAAATGTGTTAAAATCAACATAAAAAAAGAGTGGCGGCATAGCTGAGAGGTTACGGCATTGGACTAGTTATCTATGGATTGTTGAGCGTATGGGTTTGAACCCTGTCAGACACAAGCTGTTATTTCCTTCAGCCAGAAACTTTACACTCATTGCTTAGTACTGAACAGATTCAAGAGGGTTTCTTAGTCTAAGCTTATAGCTTATAACTGAACTAAAATAAACTAAACTAAAAAAAATACAGAAGCATCACAGCCTCTTCAAGAAAAATTTACATCTTTTTTTAGCCTAATTTTTTTATACCACAGCCCTCTTATCTCTAGGAATCCAAATTTTAATTTAAAATGACATTTCATAAAATCTACAAATATGAAACAGAACTATAATAAACCAAAAAAAAAATCTGACAAACTTTAAATTCTAAAATAACAAATGAGTAACTAAAAAGAGTGATTAACTGTAGACCACACGTGGAAAAATGTGAGTTAGCCATAAATCTTTTTAAAAGGTTTCCCCATCTTGATATATATATATATAAAATGTTTTTCAGGTATTTTACATGATATATTATGATACTTTAATAGCTATACAAACATTTCTTTCATGACAAGATAAAATTTCAACACTATCAATTAACTTTTTCAGTAGCTACAATGATCTGGTCAAATATTTAGAACATATTCCTGTGTTCAGACTCATTTGATTAAAGATCATTTGATTTCTATAAAAATTAATTATTGTTGTTGTTTTTGTTTATTAGGAAATTTTATTGTTGTTGTCAGTTGCACCAACCATGTTAAGGTAATGAATATGAGGCTAGTTAAGTTTTTTCCAGCTTTTTTCTCTTTCTTTATAATGGAAAAAAGGTTAAATGCCCATTATGCTTCAGAAATTCTTTTATTTCTATTTCTAAGTTACTTATAATATATTTTTTTGAGTCCTGTTATAGTTTCCAAAAAGAAACTTATTCAGGCCAGTTATCTGAAAAATCTTTGGCTTCTGTTGCTTTTTAGCAATTAGTAAAGTTATATTGATTTAGTATTTTCTACCGAAGTCAAAATGCTTCTCATAACCTTTTTTATCAATATTTTTTTCCAAAATAAAAAAAAACTACCTTAATTCTCATGTTTATTTCAAAAATAAAACACCAATAAAACACAAGGTGAAATTCCTGGTATGAACTTTACTTATTAGATACATGAATTTGATACAGCACACACAATGGTGTTACCTAGTATTGGGTATCATAAACAAACATGTTACTTGTGCTACCTATCTTACAACACAAAAAATAAAACCTAACCACCCTAAATACCTTAAATGGACTAGTCCATCTTTCAATCTGGACAAAACGATTCATCATTTATAGGGATAATTTCAAAATAAACCTTTACCACCCTCAATATCTTAAATGAACTTGTCCATCTTTCAATCTGGACATAACCATGCATAATTTTTAGGGAAATCCTTTACCACCCTAAATATTGTAAATGGACTAGTCCATCTTTTTTTTTCAATCTGGACAAAACCATACATCATTTTTAGGGAAAATTTCAAAATTATGTAACTATGCTAGCTGCCTGAATAGCAAATAGTACAAACTGTGACCAGGCAGATGGGCCTGCTGATCTTGGTCTGCAATACTTACATGGGTAGAATCATGCTAAAAGTATTGTATGCTTCTCTTTCCCCCTAGCCCTAGTTCTTCATTTACTTTCTTATATTACCTGTTTATTACATATGATGAGCTGCAATGGCCTTTTTTTCAACACATAATGTGTTTAACATGAAGATGCTTAAATTATCTAGTAATTATTTCAGTAAGACAGTCAGTACTTGCAAATAATGAGATGAAATTCAAGTTTCTAAAATGCTATTTTAGTGAGTTTTTATGAATAGGAATTCATTCCTTTTTTATTATGAGAACGTTATGTAAGCTAGCTGGATTAAATAGCTTCCTCACATGATAGAATCCAAAGTTCCTGTCAGAATTCAAACACACAGCCGTGAGGGACAAGTGGTTTGAAGTCAACAACCTTAACCACTCAGCCACGGACGCCCTGACATAAGTCCAACATTGGTTTTCTAGGCAATTCCAACAATGAAACTTCAGGACAAGTGTTGAATGACTTTGTGAGCAATGCAAATTATTTAAGTTATATTATTGGAGGTTATTTAGGGATTCTTTTTGTTTCTCTATTTTATCATAAAGTATTGCTGCAACATCAACCAGATCTTAAAATAACCAAACACCTAAATATAGACCACTTGTAAAAGATAGCACTAAGTCTTGTATTAAATACTTGGAAAGTTATGACCCAGAAAATCTAGAAATACCTGGGAAATATTAGAAAAAGGTGTTGAGAAATAACTTTATAGATCAAAGCCTGAGTTATCTAAATAGACCATCAGAACCACAACAAACAAGACTACTTGTAATGTTTACAATTTGAACCAGAGATTATTTCCATATTATTCCTGCTCTATCTTAAATCAAAAAGATGTTTCTGCCCCAAAGTGAAAACAGACACTAAACTTTCTAACACCCATTTCTACAGTTTTTTCAATAAAGTATTTTTTTCCTCTCAAATCTTTTGACCTTAATAGACTGCTGAGTTTGTGTAAAGGTATCTGCCCTCATTTGAATTTAAAAAGTCCATTAAAAAATTTAAGAGTTTTATTACAACAACAAAAAAGACACCAACAAAAACACATCATACTGCCTGGTTAGAATTTGCTCAAGCCTGGCCTTATACTAAACCAGCAGGGTAATTAATGTTGAAACCCTTAAAAAGCCAGAAAAAAAATATACATACACTATAAAGAATGTTTAGAAATTCCTTCAATATAAAAGTATATGATTGTTTTTCCTTATTTCATTTTTCTTTTATAACCAGTTATTGTTATTTCATTAATATTTGTATATTGTAATTATTAAATGTGTCTGACCTCAAAATGTTCATTGAATCATGCATGTTTAATTCCTTTTACAATATTTCATTGGCAAGATACTTTTCTGACACATGATGTTTTTTTAATTACATCAAATCTGGTTTCATGCTGCTATAATCTTTGAACATGTTCAATCATTTCTCTGAAAATCAGTCTGCAAATAAATCAAGCACACCTCAACATTTTAAACTGATAGGATCCAATCCAATAAATAACTGACACTGCAATAGACAAGAATGTCATTCAAATATCAGTTGTCATGCCAATAAATAAATAAAATCTTACCGGTCCGTTGCTCGATCCCTCAAAGTCCAGCTTTCTCCTTGCTGTCCTTGACCTTTCTCCTGTTCCCGGGGTCAAACCGAGGCTAAGGAACACTTCATCATCATAGTCACCCGTGTCCTTTTCGTGATATGTACAAGTGTCTTTAAACTTTGAGTTCTCCATCTTGACATTTAGATTAGTCTCTCTGAATGTTTGACCAACAGGCCTTTGACTCATAAGTTCAAGGTCATGTAACACTTTACCAACATTTGAAACCCCTGTTACTCCTGGTGCTGTTGTCACAAAAGTTGAAGAAGGGCCAGATAGTTGGCCATAAACACGATTTTCCATCTTGTAAGGTCCCTGTGACCCTAATGCACTAGCATGACCTTGTGACCTTTCACTTGAGGTCAAATCTGTCCTTGTATGCATCACTGGTTCTCTTGAGCTAGCTTGCACAGACTGAGTAACAAATGGCACAGAGGTATGCTGCTGGGCACCAGGAGAGCTGTAAGTCCAACTTTGAGTCACACTTGAATCAACCTGACCATGATGGTCATGATGAGATCCAGAAGTTTGTAAATAGTTCCTTCCTAAATCAGACCGGTCAAATGCACCAGCAGACGACATTTCATGACCTAGATTATGAACATTTCCAAAATTTCCATTTGGTATTGGTGTACTTGTTGCAAATGGTCTACCATGTGTGACAAATGTATCAAATGTAACACTAGACTCTGTAGGCCGCCCCAGTGTCACATAGGTGTCAAAAGTAGCTGTAGTAAATGGTGGAGTAGATTGAAAAACATTTGTTGTCTGAGGATTTTTGTCATACAATTGTGTCTTTGAATTATTACCTTGATGTAATGCATTAACTTCATTTTTATCCTCTGATTTGACACTAATTACATGAGATTTTTGTGGTTGACTCTCAGTTTCTGAAAAGTTATCATAGTCTTGGATTTCACTTGATTGCCCATTAATGAGAAATGGGCGTACTGAGTTGACAGGACTTCTGCTCAGGGGTTCCTTTCCAAAAATAGACTGGTCTCTGCCAGAATGCACTATGGGATATTTAACAGCACCAGTCTCTTGGACAGTGTCATAGTCTTGCCAAAAAGTACCATCAAAACCACTATTAAAATCTGAATGAAGATTTGCTTGAGTTATGTTTAATTTCATTTGATGTCCTCGCTCTTCAGAATTTTTCTCTGGTGAATAAAACATTAGGTTATCTTGTTTGTATCTTAAAGATGCCAATTCATTGCTTGTTGTAAGAGGTTGGCTTTGAGCCACTAATGGTTTCTTCTTTGAACGATAATCTAAAAATTTTCTCAAGGTTCCTCTATGATCAGCTGTATCAGAAGTAACTTTTTGGTCTTTTCTATAATTTTGGTTCAAATGGTCACTTTGGGTTAATTCAGCTCCATGATCTGATTCATCGTCACTCATAGGAAATTTTGGTAAATTTAATAAAGAACGTAAAGAAGTCTTCTTTTTACCTTTTTTCGCTACAGGTGGCCCCGAGTTCACTGGGGACCTTGACATTTGAGGTTCAATAATCTGATGACTGTTAACAACTCCAGGTCCCCATCTCACATGATGACCACTCTTTAATCCAGATGGGCTCTTTCTTAAAGATGATGTAATGTGGCTGTCAGATGAACCTGGTCGAGTTGGTGATGGAGAGGGTTCACACACGCCATGGGTCCCTCTTCCCACATGAACATGATGATGCTTATGCGGAACAGGTGGCTTTTGTTCAAGTCTCTTTTTAGTAACCTGAGGCATTTCCATTATCATATCATAGTCCAGATTATCTGATACGCTTTTAGAGGAGCGATCCCCGCTTGTGCTCATTGAGTCAATAGACATACTAGCCGTAGAATCTAAACTGCTCACTGGGCCATAGTGACTGTTGTTATCCCCTGTCAATTGAGGTGCAGGAAATGGGCTTTCATGGGCAAGTCTTGGACTTGCAGGATATGAAGTTTCATACTGACGTTTCTTACCATAACTGGTGTATGCATTGTTCTGGTGTGCATTTAAATTCGACCTTGACGTGTCAAATTGACCTTCAGATGCTGGGAATCTATAACCACTTCCTTTTGAATAACTTCTTGCACTTTCAGTGTCACTTAATCCATCAGAATAAACATTCCTATTGACATCATATGGTCTTCTGTTCTCCAATGTATTTTCCATAAATCCTGGATTATACTGTGACCTCTGACCTGAACCTTGTGAACTTGACCTTTCACTTATATCACTCTTGCCATTTCTTAAATACCCCACTTGTCTTTCTTGCTGATACTGTGGGTAATCTATTTCTTTCTCAACACCTATTTTCCCATATTTCACATTATAAGCTTTCCATTGCACATGTGGTGGGCTCAAATCCCTTCCAACATTTCGCTCAAAGTTTTCCTTGTTTTCATTATAATTGACTCCAATATTTTGCACGGGTCTCCCAAAGCCTGCGTTCTGATTGGCTGCGCCAATCATGTCATCTCCGTTAATTTTTTCAAAGCGCGTAAAATCACCGCTCACATAATGCGCCCCTTCATCACTCAAACCACGACCATGTTCAACCAGGTGTGCATGCCTGTTAGCTTGCTCAGAATGTTTTAAGCGTGGTGGCTTTTTTGTGGCAAATTTAAGCATGGTCGTTTACAAGCACTGTTAAAACAGCAGTAGTTAATTATGAGTAACGCACAGTCTGGTATTCTCTATACAGAACTCGCTGTAAACATTGGTAAATGAAACTTCCGTTTTCAGTTTCAAAAACAGGCTATTAGCCAATGTATGGCTCTACGGTGAAAATTTCAAGAAAGCTTTATCCTTCAGGTGTTATTGCGCAGGTAACTAGGTAACTCAAAAAAAATGTCTTCCATCAAATAAATTTCAGAATCTTCACAGTAATATCATCCACTCATCCTCAACTAACTGTTGAAATATTTCCTCCCAGAATCTCTATTCAATTACACTTAAAATGAATAACATATTGCAAAACAGAACACTAAGCTTCAGCAAAGGTGAATCCGCAATCAGAGGTACTCAGTCTTAGATAAGCCACCTATTTTTTTTTCCTCCAAATTCAGTGAACCAGTCAAATTTTAAAACTCTGATTGAAAAGTTACAGGTCAGAACTTTACTTACTTCCTTCCTGTCTTTAAGAAAAATAAAAACAATCTAGAACAATCCCATGAATTTAAAACATTTTATAGTTTTCTATGTACATGAAAACTGGGTAACATTTGTGAATATAAACAAGTAACTTTTGTGAATTGAAACAATCAAAAAATGTTTCCGAGAAAGTTGCTCCCTTTATTGCACTAAATGTACTGCTTATGATTGATAGGTAAAATTACATTATATTGGTTGTTGGATTAAAAGCCATATGTAAAGATTCTTTTTATACCGCTTTTTGATAGGTTGCCTTCCAGCAAAAATTACATTTAGATAAACTTCTCTCTGAGTTTCTCCATAGAATTGATACAACTGGTGTGAATTTACTGAAATTAAGAAAGGTGAATAAAAATTTATTACATCATTTCGAAGTAAATTTCAATTATTCATTCTTGTTTTTCTTGGAGGTAAATCACCAGTCCAATTTAAATGGTGCAAACAGAAAAGATTAACTAAATTAATAGTCTAATATCCATATGAATTAGGTTTTAAAAAAAAAATTCTGAAAATTTATCACCAGTCCAATAGAAAAAGCGCAAAAAAAACAAACTAAATTAATTGTAATATCCATATGACTTTAATTAATTTATGTTTTAAAATTCTTTTCCTGAAAATTAATCATCACTCCAATAATTATAATAAGCGCAAAAAAAAATGATTAACTAAATTAATAGTTATATTCACATTTATATCCATGTGAATTTATGCTGAACAAATTTTGCCACAAGTTCCCAAAACTTTTTTACCATTAATTATGTAGAATAATACTTGAAATATTGTAACCTCTGAAGAACATAGACTCACTATAAACCAGGAATACTGTCTCAAACTGACTAAGTGCCAAAATGTCCTCATTATTTTTATTATTTTACCCCTATCCTGGTGAAATTAGTATAATGAACTAGCCCTGCTTTTAAATTTGGAACAATTCATTGTTAAATAGGGGGGGGGGTTTAAAACCAAATCATTATTTTATCCTTATGTATAATGATTTCAACGAACCTGTCCTGCTTTTAAATTTGGAATTGTCCCCTGTTACTTTTTTTTTGGCGGGGGGGGGGGGGGGGGGGGGGGGGGGAAATTAAATTAAATTGCCATATTATTATTATTATTTATTTCCTTTAGTCACTGCATGCTTAGTAACCTACATAAAATTGCAAAATCAATCTTTTTTTTTTTGCTATTATAATCAAATTATTTTTGTTTTTTGTTGTTTGTTTTGGTTTTTTTGTTGTCCCCCCCCCCCTTTTTAGAATTCATGTGGATAACTAAGTGATTTAAGGTCTTCCTCTAAAATAAGGGATGGTAGATTCGAGCCAGATCAGTTTCCTCATTTAACACCAGTACTGGTTATAGTTCCAGAAAGCAGACTCAAAAATATGATCAATAAAGGAACTTTAATGATTAGGATAACATTTAACCATTTGAAGCATTTCAAATTTTATGTGATTGACCTATTTCTAGAATAACTTAAAAATGAGAGAATCGTAAATTTGAAATAGTGGAATCCTTTCTCAAGAAATAATCATCTCAAGAAATAATCATCTCAGACTCAAGAAATAATCATCGTTACTTAACAATTTCTCATCACCACATGTCATATTTCTAGACCAGCATGACTTTGTGTGGTTTTTGTCCTCTTAATTCATGCTATGAGATTTTATTTAGTGACATAAAAGCATTCAATTTGGATCTTTTTTTATCAATTTAGGTTTAAATACATCTAAAGAATAATGACATTCTTTTGAATTGATAATTTCCTTTGAATAATGGATATTTACTTGTTATTCACATGAGAATCCATTGAATTGATTTGTTCCTTTTTTTCTTTTCTTTTTTACTTATTCTTCACATTTAATTTATCATATCCTTTGATTTTGATATTTACTTCTTTTTTATGTATGAATCCGGTTTAAAACTTATTAATTCTTGACAACTCTTTTTGCATAACACTTATGGACCTATGTATTTTATCATTTCCCTTGACTTTGATTTTATAAAAAAAAAACCTCAAACACACAATTTTTACTATTTTCCTTTGAACTTGTTTATTTACTTATTAAGACAATGATCCTTTGAACTCTGCAGGTTACTTACTTTAGAATCCATAAGTTTATCATTTTTATTTATTTTGGTTATTACCTTATGTTAATCCACTGAATTTATTATTTTTACAACAGTATGAATCTACTTATTAATCAAATATTGAATTTCTTATTCCCTTTGAATTTTGGTTACATAATTTACTAACGAATCCACTGCATTTATAATTTCCTTCCAGCTTTTAACTTACTGACAACAATTACCATTCCATGAATGTAACATAGGTAACAACTTTATGTTCAAAGTTTAAGATAACAAAATTAATAAAGAATCCAATTTATATTTTTTTGCTGCCAATCTGTGAAGCAAGTACATAATATGTTCAGAAAATGACAATGTTCCCATTATGAACATGTATATTGTTAAAGGTGTTACTGGATTAACAACTGTGTAGAAAGATGATGTGTTATGTATGTTACAATATGTTATATTACGTTACCTAATTCATTATCAGTAACAGAAACAATTAACCTTACTGCTCAACTATCATAACCTTCTTGTAGATAAACGAGATAATCTATCTCCCCATGTAAATTATAACAAGGACAAAATATATTTTGGCTTACTGTTCAATAACATGTAAGGCTTAAATAAACGCATGTTCAAATTAAAAGTTTAAGCATTAACAAAATTTCTGCAAAATTTGCAAGCCAGACTTGAGAGTTCCTTATTTTGAGAAGATTTCTATTCTGAGAAGTTAAATCAATCATTGATATCATTCAAGTAAAATTACTGATTTCTTGTATCTAAATTAAACTTTTTTTAATTAAGTTGCTTATGCATGGCCTATAAATTGGTTTTCCTCTGCCCAATCAAGGGGGTTTTGTACATCTCATTGAAGGTATTTTTGTACACTTTTAACCACGGTATGGTGGGGCTCATTGTGTGCATTCTACTGACACACTTTTGGCAAGATTTGTAGCTCCACCCTATTGAAGAGCAAGATTCCACCCATAAAGGGGCTTTTGGCAATTCCATAGACAGGATTTTGGTCAATAATTCGAATAATTCAAATTTTACTGAGCACATTTTTTATTCTTCTGTAAGGTAACTGTGAACAAGCCATTCTTTAGAGCAAACTCAGCAAAAATGACTCAAAGTTTCATGCTCGATTTTTAAAATTCACTGAAGTAATTAATAGGTGGTGCCATCTTCATAGAGGTGGACTCTCTCCTACAAACAAATTCATCAGCTACAATTTAGTTATTGGAGAAGTGAAGTGGTATTGCTCTGTAACTTGTAATATTCAGAAACATTCCTATAATCTGTGCATTAACAGACATGCGTTATCTAATATTGCGTAATAACGTCCCTGCATTATCATGTTATTATTATATGTGCAAGATAATTTACATCATTATACCAATAGATCTTAATCATTGCATTATATGTGTAACTTGAGACATGTAACAAGACGTAATTTTTTAGCAACTGGCAACATAAATTTCTTGGCTTTTTTTGATATTACCATTACCAGTGTAATTGATTTTTAATTGAATTTTTGCGTAATTTAATAGTTTTCCTTTGATGAATAGGTGATTGTATACTTGCATAAAAAAGCATTTTGATTCCATTAATGAAAATCTTGATTAACAGGTAAATAAAGCCAGGAATGAATGAATGTTTTGACATCAGATTTAATGCTTTTTGTTGTATATATATATGATTAAAATCACATTCATTAAAGTTATTGTAATGTATCAAAACAGAATAACAACTTGATACATTAAAATACCTGTGAACCACAATTGTTGAAAAAAATACCTCTTGGTGATGTTAAACAATAAAGGGAAGCAACTCTTTTTTTCTTTACAATTAAAGGGAGGTAACCATTTAATTTTCTTGAGCTAAATCAGTAAATGACAACTGCTAGATGGCATAAACAATAAGTACTTATAGTTTTCAGCTGACAGTACAGTAGGTGTGTAGTTATTTTTTGCTGGACATGATAAAAAAGAACCAGTTGCTCTGGTACCATTTCCAGAACAATCCTATACATTACCTGACCCTAATGGTCACTGGAAGAACATCCAGTTCAACTGATGGAGGTTGCCCTTGGTGAATTATTTATCGCATGACTTGGCATTCTAGTAGAACCACCTATCTTCTGTACAGTAAGCTAGCTGGATAGCTACCTGGCACGGAAAAATGCAGGGTCTCTGACAGTATTCAAACCAACAGCTGATAGGGACAAGGAATGTATTATCCTCGACTTGCGTAAAAAGGTCACCATTTGTGACCATTAATTAACCTACCTACACACTGTGACACAAAATCATATTGAAAATCTCATTCTTGTTATGAAATCCACTTTTTGGTTCTGTTGCTATGTAACTTTGTCATAATACCCTCTGACATCCAAGCACACACACAAAAACAAAACTTTATTGATTATAAAATCCAAATTTTCATTATGTTGTCATGTTGTACCTTTGTCATAATTAACCATCTCACATTCAAGCACACATAAAACAAATCTTTAGTGATAAGAATAAATCCTACATCCACCCCCACTACATCACTGTGTCTCTTAGTTTCACCACTAAAGACCACTTAAAAAATCCAAATAATTCATTATCACTTTGTAAAGAAAACAAAATATTTCTGTAGGTCCAAAACTTTCACCAACAATGTTTGATTTTAACCTAGATAATATATATATAGATGTATATATATCTA